GTTTTTGACAGGAACTATTTCTTTCGGGGCATAGGAGGCCACTTCCTGGGGTGCACACAGGATGTTTATAAACACATTGAATACACGTGGTTTTGAGGGTATTCCTGTTTGCGGATGGAAAAAATCAGAAAATGCCGTGTAGGTACCCTATTTTTTGGTGTCAGCTGATGTGACTGGTAACGTTTAACACTTCCTGCTAAATATTTTTTCATGAATTCGAATACCTGATTTTTAATGATTTTTTATTCTATATAGAATTACATAGTGAAAACAATTACCGGTGTGATACCTTGAAGGTGATTGTGTAAAATCATCTACACCCATATTAAAAGCAGTTTTAATTTTATAAAGGCATATTTCAACAAAATATGTCATTTTATGAACTTTCTGTGTGAAAGCACATATTTTTAAATTTAGAAGCAGGGTTGACATTAATTTATACAGATTTCTATGTAAAATACTAATAATATGTCATGTTTTAACCTCAAAACTCCAAATTATGACTTTCAAAGGAGGATTATGCATCTGACATGTAGAAAGAAGTTAGAAAATGTTGGTTTTTTATTTTATATGACTTTAAACTCTGTGCACCACCTGACCGCAGTCAATTATAGTGTCTACAGACTTTGCCGTAAAAGCACTTTAGGCTGATTTTTTCAAGAAAAGACTAATTCTGGGTTTGCGAATGAGTTTTCAACAAAAGCGACAACTGCGATAAAATGTGAAGAAGTAAAACATGATTTTAAAAAGTGTTAAATTTTACAGAGACTGGGTTTACTTTCATTTTATTCACCTTAAGTGATTCATTTATTACTGGAGTGGAGGAATAGAAATAATGAAATGAGTTAAATTTGTCTAACAAAAGTAATGCACAAATAAAATTTATTAAGAATTTTTCAAAAATAAGAAGCTTATGACCAAAAATGCATAAATACTGTCAGGGCATGAGAGTGAATACTTATTTTGAGTCCCAACCATGCATCACACATATAGTACAGAATGTCACTTAGCACCATGGTATGCCTGTTATGGTTCTCTAGACTTTTTCCATGCTTTCACAGCTGACATTCAAGATTTTTCAGTTTGCCGGAGAATGTTTTTTGTCATTTTACCACTTTTATGTAGGTGTTGACCCTCTCTTTTAAATTAAGTCTCAGTCAGGATGTTTATTTTAGCATGATTTGTTAAACACATTAATGTACTGAAATATTAATAAATTACAAATTAAAGTGATGAAGAAATTTGACATATTTACACAATCAAAATATCAGAATAACCATAATTCAGCTAATAAAGTGCCATGCTCTTCTTTTGTCACTTCCTATAAATTTTATCAGCATTTTTTGTACACCCACCCACCTCCAAGAATCATGGAGGATGGCCTGATATTAGTTTCTTTGTTGCATTTATTCACATTTAAAAGTGTTAAGACCCATAAAAATGTTTAAGATTTATATTTTTAAATTTAATTGTTGAATTTTTGTGTAAATTTGGTGAAACAAAAAGCTGTAATCTTGAATTAATCATGCAAATTCATCAAACACCTTTGAAATTCCTGAGTAATTCAATGAAAAGAGGATAATTATGCATGTTCAATTGGAATTTCATGGCTAATTTGTGTCTGCAGAGAAAGCCAGTTACATAAATCACAACAATAAATTACATCTGAATTGTTTTCTCCATTTTCTTATCATCAAAGCAAGTTTAATGGAGTGTCAGAGCTGTCTAGAACCTCCCCAGATGCTGATATCATTTGGACTGCCCTGTGTTACAACACAGCTTTTAGATAAACTTCTGCATAGCAGGTTGTAGACAAGTACCTAGGCTTTATTTGGAACATAAATTGACCAGATGCAGATTTTATTATCAGCCTAATATTTAACAATTTCTGTAAATTTTGTCATTCTTAGGAGGGTAAAATGCAATTTTGTTATGTAATAATTGCATAATGGTCTCCGACTTGTGAATTATTTTTTGTTTGTTGTGAAGAACAATGCATATACTCTCCACGGATACAAAATTGGTTGCCAGGCTTAGTCTATTAAGGATGAAATTCTGCTTCAAAATATGCACCAAAAAACTTCTGTCAGAGTGCTCAGTGTGTATTCTTGACAGCTCTGGAGTAAGGGAGATAAATGCATCATATCTCCAGCAATAATGGGAATTAGATCCCCAGACTTCAGGATGTTAGTGACAGTTATTTAAGAAATCTCAGGTGCAAAAATGAAAAAAATCTGACAACTTCAAAGGTCCTTCAAGGTATCACACCGGTAATTGACCAATCAAAATGAACTTAGTCAATTGTAGTTCCATACATAATAAAGAAATATTTTTTTATTGTGAGAATTTTTTTTAATTTCCCTTATTCTATTTTTACATTTTTGGTATCTGTGCTTAGGATATTTTATGTACTTTGTAAAATATTAAAGGTTTTTGACAGGAACTATTTCTTTCGGGGCATAGGAGGCCACTTCCTGGGGTGCACACAGGATGTTTATAAACACATTGAATACACGTGGTTTTGAGGGTATTCCTGTTTGCGGATGGAAAAAATCAGAAAATGCCGTGTAGGTACCCTATTTTTTGGTGTCAGCTGATGTGACTGGTAACGTTTAACACTTCCTGCTAAATATTTTTTCATGAATTCGAATACCTGATTTTTAATGATTTTTTATTCTATATAGAATTACATAGTGAAAACAATTACCGGTGTGATACCTCCAAAAGTTACCTGGAGGAGTCCGATAATTACACAATAGGAGTTCAGGCATCAATAGTTTTCTACCTGAAACCATCCAATAAGTAGACAAAAGAAAAGAGAAAGTTTTTTTTTCTTTAGACAGTAAAATCAGTGAGTGAACTCTTTTGTTTCATTCATTCAATGGTAGTCGTTTGGCTTAGCAGGAACTATGGACAGTGGTCAGTTGATGAAGGATTTTTTTATGATTCGGAATATTTTTTTTATTAGATGCATTTGACATTGATACAGATACAGTGTTGGATGATATCTTCAAAATGCATTTACAGTAAAAATGCGGATTTTTATCTAAAATTTTTATTGGATCTTGGGTTTTAAAAGTGCGGTCATTGGCGAACAAACCTCGTTAAATGAAGAGATTCGCAGACTGGTTCTTTATCAGAAATGGATTTAAATTGCCTTATTCACAGTGCTGTATCGAAAATGCTTTGCATAAAACCGAATGGAAAGTGTTACTTTTGAGGAAGGTTAAAACTCCAGTTTCTTCTTGGATTTTCTATTTTTAACAACTTAATTTCCTTGCGTTTGCTTTCCCTGCCTTTTTTCTTCCTAACTTTTTTGTTGGTTTCTGGACAAATTAAACCTTGATTTCACTCTAGTTGTTGTTTTTTAACTACTGTCTGATTTTGTTATCACTGTCGTCCGATAATATATTATTGGACTGCTAATTATTATTATCGGACGGCTACAGGTAAATTTTTAGACTGCAAGAACAAAGGCATGACGTCACAGCAATGTTTTAAGCAGTTTTACTACCTGATCGATAGTCTCACCCTGCTTCAGAACCCCTGACCCTGGGGCAGTTCATTTCATAATTTCGGTAGAGGGTTCAAAGCTTATTACAATCATGTCAACAGTTCGTCTGCTTGATGTCCATGAGTAAAGAAAAAGACTTTAAGACTGCATTATTTTTTATGGTTTAAGTCCCACCCAGCAGACCACAGTGGGACGGAGACCATGAAACTCACAATTTTTGTTCTCCTTTACCCCCAGATGCTATATGCTAAACTTGGTTGAAATAGGAACAGCGGCTTCCAGAGAAGAAGCTGAAAATGTCCAAATGTTCATGCGTGACAAGGGGCGTATACAGATAGCAATAAGTCACCAAGTCACTCAGGTGACATAATAAAGGATACTAAATACCAAATCTGGATCCACAATTTTACCAAAACAAGGCAGATTTTTTTTTTTTTTTTTGAAGTTTGTAAATGATAGAAAAAAAGAACACATTGATATGAATATCCATGAGTTAAACAACAAAATACACTGAAAACCTTTAAATAAGTTCACAGCCCCTTCTACTTTTAGTAGTAATTTATTAAAATGGCATATATCAAAATATTTACAGTTTAATTCACTTTATTTACATTTGCAAATATTTTTCTTAGATGAACCTATAGAAGAGAAAATATGTTCAATTCTGTATGAACTTATTAGGGGGTCAGAGGTCATGGCGTGACCGAATCACACAGCGAGACGATATCTTGTCTACATATTTCTGTCACAGTGACACTGGTTTCGGAACTTCTGAACCGTCAAAGCGATGAAAAAGATAAAATTATTGAAACATATATTTTTTTTTCGTTCAACAAATGATTGTTAGATCTTTCTTTGGTGTGAAGAATGTTTCTAATTAGCCTAAAATCACGCTTACCTTTTTAACCCGAAATTCCTTTGAAGGTATGTAAACTGAAGACGATATAGCACCGCTTTTGACTTCATATATAAAGAACTAGTACAATAATAGTAAGATTATTCTCAGTAGCGATCATTGTTTTTTCATTACGAACAGTTATTTCCTGAACTGGACGGCTTAACATCCATGTAAATATTTAAATGTTGGAGCGAGGCGAACTCTGAAGAACAAACAGCTTCTAGGTCATTGCGCGTCACAACATAGCAATACGGCGGGCCGTTTGTGTAATAAATGCAGTTCTACTCAGAATACTCGTCTCAAATGTAAATAAAAGTAATAAACAACAATGTTAAAAAGTTCACTGGGAAATGAACTTGGTTGGTACGTGATCAAATCTTCTGAGAAGCCCTTCGGGCTTCACAGGATTTGATCACGTGACCAACCAAGTTCATTTCCCAGAGAACTTTTTAACATTGTTGTTTATTTCTTAATACCATGTTTACAAGCAATGTCAATTAAGTGCATGTATACAGATGTACATAAAAATCATGCTGGATTTCAACATTATTTTTTTTTGTTTTCTTACATGAACAAAAATATATACAGTTTAAATAGGCAACACAACTTTCCTTGTTTATTGAACATACAATGTATAACTCAACAAGAAATCAGAATTACACGTAATGACTTCATAAATTGGATGGATGTCAATTGTATGGAATTATTACACTGTAACTTAATTACTAAAGACAACAAGGGATGTTTGTCATTTTCCAATACAGTTAAACTTCAGCATCTCCAATAAAATGGATATACCGAAGTGATCTGGAAGTCCCAACCCTTATTCAGTATTCTTTAAGTATTTTACCCTGGATATCACTAATCCTCGGATATCTCCGTTTTTTTCTCAGTTCATCGAGTTTGAGATCATCAAGTTTGACTGTATTTGTTTTATTTGTCAATCTAATTAAAATTAGGTGATCCGAATCTGCTACCACTTCTCCAGCATCTAATAACATTACATTCAGGGTCATGTTAGAGTGACCTTCAATTAGCCAATGAAAATCACTGCTGCCCCAATCTTGGCTTATAGTTTAGATGTGTTTCTTTTTCACAGCCAAATCTAAAAGCCTGAGGAGTTTCATAGTAAACAAAACTAAATGTCATGTGCAGGATATCTTGTATAGTTTATGCATTTTTGTTTGTATTATTCAAGAAAGAATGGTGAATAGATGGGCTATACATTTCAATTTATACCACAATCAGCAAGACACACTACTGAGCATCAGAAATGTATAGATGTCACTGTGGATCTATTTTTAGAGTAGGACATGTACACTGAAGTTTGAATCTGATTGATCAAAATTTTCATGTTTATTTAAAACTGAAAAGTTGTGCTGACCCTGTATGGGATGTTATTAGATGTTTGAGAAGTGGTAGAGATTCAGAACGTCGAATTTTAATTAGATTGTTTATTTATATACATCATCTATTTAATAACATTGCTGATTAACGTATAAGTATAAACAAATACATTCTGCATTTATGTTATCAATTATAATTTAAGCCATTCTCATAAATACAATGTACATTGTACATAATTATCTGCAGCATAAATTAAAATAAAAACAAATGTAAAATTATCACCAATTTAATACATCTCTATTTTTAAGGTCTGGAAATAAAAATCAATATGTAACACATCAAGTTTAACTTATTACGTTATTGTCAGTGGCCTCCAAAATATCCTTGGCATTCATATTCTCTGGTTCACTGTTGGATTTGCTTTCTGAATTTGAATCATTTGAAAAAGCATCCTCTAAATTAGCAAATGAAGTATTGTTTTCCATTTCTAAAGAATTAACACTATCCATACATGGAGCACTTGCCGCTGGTTTTATCTGTACTTTTTCTAAATTCGCTGACTGATCACATGACTTTTTACAACAGGTGCTTGTTCCTGACAACAGATCTGGGGTGGAGGCACTGGTCACTGCTGTGGGCGGGGGAACAGTTCGATTTGATGGGACAGACTGTGTTTGATTTTTTGTGCCCCTCTTTTTCCCCAAAACTTTGACATAATTTGCAGGAATGATTCCCACTTTCTGTCCATCTACTGATGCCAAGAGCCAACCTCTCATTCTTGGTTGAATTTCTGAAAATTTGAGATACATGTACATACATTTCCTCATCAGGAAAAAAAACTGTTTCTAAACTTTTTGATTTTCTTGAAATGAAATACATGTATGTATGTATGTATATATATTTATATATATATGCAAAAGAAAGGAATTGTTTGAAATTCTTCTATTCCAATCTGGATGATAGGATCTACTAAGTATGATTTATTTTCAATATAACACCTTTATCATTCCCACACTGTAATTCTTAATGCTTCATTAACCTTTGTGAGCATGACATAAAATCTCACTGTTACCCCTATTATAACAGATTAAACCCTAAAAGCATGAACAGGCATAAAGATCCAGAATACAATAATGTACCCAGAAATCCAGTGTAGTTTACCTTTTGGGGCTACTTTGATGAGTTGCCCTGCTGTAAATACTTTACGGTTTACCTTTTGGGACTACTTTGATGAGTTGCCCTGCTGTAAATACTTTACGGTTTACCTTTTGGGTTACGTTGATGAGCTGTCTTGCTGTTAATGAATCTTTTTGGGGCTATTTTGATGAGTTGCCCTGCTGTAAATACTTTATGGTTTACCTTTTGGGGCTATTTTGATGAACTGTCCTGCTGTAAATACTTAATGGTTTACCTTTTGGGGCTACTTTGATGAGTTGCCCTGCTGTAAATACTTAATGGTTTACCTTTTGGGGCTACTTTGATGAGTTGCCCTGCTGTAAATACTTAATGGTTTACCTTTAGGGGCTACTTTGATGAGCTGCCCTGCTGTAAATGAAAGTTCCTCCTCACCACTTCCATTGAAGTCAAACTCTGCTCTGGCCACAAAGTGGTCATCTTCACCAGAAGCCCAGGCTTTTACTAAAAATATCATTTAAGTACTAATACAATAGTTATAGTGAAAGCAAGTACATCTACCATCTATCCAAAAAGTATTCAAATAACATTTCATTATTAAAAGGATGAATACAAAAGTAAAATAAATTCCATCTCATTTTATGTATATATTTCCATTCAATACATTAATGTGCTGTGAATGGTACTACACGTGTTATAATTCATATGGTTTCCTATAAAACGAGGTTAGTGACAGGTACCTCTCCAATTATGATAAAAAAATCTGAAACCTGCATTTAACTCCCATCAGTTGGAAACTTATACCTCATAATTAAGGATAAATAGGGTAAGACTTGATGTCTTTACAATAGAATCTATATTACACTTTTCCATTACGTAGACTTAATGTAAAAAAATTTTTCTATAGCTTTACATGTGTATAAGGGAAAATTGTAATATACATGTAATAGCTTATATAATGGAACATTGTACTATACATGAAATAATATCAGTTAAAAGGTTTTTGTAATAGACTGCAGAGCTTCTTTTCACTATACATTACACAAGGATAAATCAAAAATATTGTAGAGCTTTCTTAGAGTTCATCAACACCTACCAGAAGGTCCACTTAAGCTGGATATCATCCTCCAAATGAGCCACGGCCCTCCCATAATGACTCCAAAGAACAGCATGATGGGCCAGGTGCTCTTTTTGGGAGCTCCTCCTTCCTCTGGAAGCTGACTCAACACATCAGAAGCCTTAGCCCAAGCTTCCTCTGCATATCCTTGAGGTCGCAATCTTAGGAGCACCAACAACTTACGATATAAATACTTCAAGAACCGAAATACAGCAAAAGCTGACAGTACTTGACCGATCTGAGACTTCAGACGAGTGAAATTGTCAGCTACCCCCACAACAGCTCGGAATGAGTTGTACATGGCCTGAAAGGTGGAATCCAGCATCATACTAACAGAGGTGAAGGCATTGACAATACTCTCAATGGACTGGAAGGCAGGCCTGGAACTTTCCTCCGCCAGTCTTGCTAAGCTATTTTGTCCATAATCATCACCATAGCCCATTCTATTGTATCCGCCTATACCACCATATCCATAACCATATGATGATCCATAGCTACTGTATGGACTGTATCCTCCATATCCACTCATGCCAAAGCTACTGTAGGGAGAGAGACCACTATATCCACCATAAGGTGAGGAGAAACGGCTACCCATGGTGCTCTGTGCTGGACGTGAGGGTAAGGGAGGAGGAGCTCTTCCCCCTGCACCAGCGGAAGCATTTGGGGCACAACATGGGGGCACACCATCTGTAGTTCCTACAGGTATTCTGTAAAGGAGAAAACTTTACACTGACATCTGTCTAATTTTTGGGCGAAAGAACAGCTTGAAGGGAAATGAATATATTGTGTAACATCATCATGGCTGTCATACCATGACACATAATATAATAGGGTGAATTCCCCAGAATTCAAGAACACCCTCTTACTTTAAAGAATAATTAGAGGGATATAGAACAGTGTATTTCTTTTGAAAATGAGTTAAAAAATAGAGTAATTTAAAATTTTTAAACATATAAGACCAGGAACATTAACTGGCAAGATTGGAAATATGTAGCTTTTGTCATTTCCATCTATTACAGTCAAAACATTTGATTATAGACAATGAAATGTATAATTCGACATAATGTCTAAGAAAACATTGGACTGAAATTCTAGTTTGAAATTCATTTTCAATCCACCTCAACAAATGGAGCACTGTATAATAAAAACTTTTTTCTAAAAATAGAGCCCACAAACTATAAATAATGATGTTTCGCATCACTAAAAATTAGGGATGGGTATCAGCAAAAAATTTGTATCATGATATATCACGATTTTTTCCCAAAAATATCAAGATAAATCGTGATATTTTTACATACAATTTTTACTACAATTTCAAATGAATTTCCTTGATATTTCTTAAAAATATGCAATAAAAACATATCTTTACTTTTTAAATTTCTATTTATTTAATATAAAGCATGTTTGGATGCCGTTGTTTAACTGTTTTCAACATTTTTTACGCTTTCTGTAATAATTGTCATTCAATAGTTTGCACAAATTAATGAATAAGTTCCGGAATTTATAGTTATGTACCAAATATTGGTATTTTAGTCTCCATATCACGATACGTATCACGCAATAAAAAATTGCAATATACCAGTATACCGATAAAATCGCGCATCCCTACTTAAGGACATTGGCAAGTCAGGGTTTTCCGGAGAAAAAAGGTTTAATACATGGGTTTTTTCCCTTATAAAATAGTGATTGAGAGTGATCTCCTGTGTAGAATTCTCTGAGCGGTGAAAACTAATAAAGCGTATGTTACAGAGGTAAACAAAAGCATGTGCATTCCTTCAACGGGTAGAATCATCTATACAACAAGAAAGAAAAGTAGTAATGGCTTTGTTGTACATTGTATTCAGGGACAAAGAGCCAACAGGTCGTCATTTACCATTGTAATGCTCAGTATGCTGGATGTCACATATACTGAAAGGTAGGTCGACCATGCCGACTGAGAACAGTTCTTAGGTCGTGTGAAGGAATCAGCATTTAGTAATTATGAATAAAGTTAAAAATAAATCCATGCCAATATTTTTATGACAATGTGTTTCAATCAATTCAGTCAATTACATGATAAAAACAATCAACCAGTCTCTTGACCAATTTTAGCTGTTAAGGGACGCAACTCAAAAATGATGATCGATATCCATGTCTTGTTTCTATATATACATTTTCAGCCAGAATATTTAGAAGTCATAGGAAATGAAGATACAATAATGTATATAATACAAAAACTGTATGAAATAAATGAGTTTTGAAGAAATATTATGTTGAAAAATTTTGTAGGTCCCTTTTATCAACATTTTACATAGGAAATGCATTAAGAATTGTAAAAACACTAATTTGACAAAATCTAAAAAAGAATGTTGGATTGGTAGGTAAAACGATCCAGAATATAGCATATTTAGTGCATTTAAACCTACTCAAAAGTTCTAGAAAAATTCTATACAATAACCAGGAACCTTGCCAATGTCCTTAAAATGTATCAAAATACCCTGGTAAATGAAGTATTTCTTAGAGAGAGACAAATAAAGTATGCCCTAGACTATTTAAAATTTCAAAAACTGTTCTTTTCTTTAAGTTGTCATTTCAAAAGTATGTTTTATTATATCACATTAGCAGAGATTCTCTTTGATAAGATCAACTAAAATTATTAATCCTCTGTATGGACTACAATATTATATTGAAGAATCATCCAGAAACCTTTTACCAAAGGATGCAAGAAGGCAAGTTTTAAAATTAATACAGATTTGTAACTAAGACATTTTACTTCCAGATTTCTTACCAATAAGTCTGTGTGATTTACACACCAATTATTCACACTGAACTTTAAAACATTTCTTATATTTACATTTTACATGTTCAAATGCACCAAAAATATACTCAATGTTTAAATTATTCGCTGCCCTATATCGTTACATTTTTATTAACGTCTCTGTAGCTCATTGTGACATCACTTTAGCGTGAGTTTCACCGTGTATATTTCTACATGCGAGTATACACGAAAATGGCATTCAAATCAATTTCACTGTTGGCTTAGTAGAAAAACATAGCAAATGTAAATATTGATGCATAATTGATAACTTAGAAAGTAATCATTTTTTTAAAATTGGCCAAATTTTTCTTGTCTTCTTCATCATCAGTATCAGGAAATTTGGTACTCACCATATTGCGACATTCCTGCATTTGGCCTTAAAATGCATGTAAATCAAAAAGTATTTAAAAATACCTGGAATAAGTTTTATTTCAAATACCTAGGTAGCTATTAATAGCTACAAATAGTCTTTGGACTGGACCTTATTACATTTGCAAGAAATTGAAAATAACCTAAGAAAAATCAAGCCCTTAAAAATTGTTTAAACTCTATTATAAGCAGAAGTGATTCAAATTTTGTAATGTTTCAAACAGTTCAAAATGAAAGTGGATGCATTTGCGTTATCAACAAGGGGTCTAGATCTAGAACGGGTCAGATAGAATTTCCTCTTCTGATATTAAAAAAGTTATACAGAATTCTTTAATTAACAATATAAAAATAGATATATGACGTTTAAGCAAATTTAATACATTTTTCTCGCTTGATCTGACCAGGGAACTATATATATGTCCCTGATCTGATAAAGTAACGAACTTCGAACAGTGACGCACACTTCGGGGCACACTTCTGCACTACCTCGTGCTGCTTCTCGTGGAATATCCATTTTCATAATTCTCTTCTACTAATAAACATTTCAGACACATGTAAAATATCAAGTTTTACGTACCCTGACATTTCATTTACAGGCAAACTCCCAGAATTCTGATAGTTTATCCCTGCTCTTTCCCATGGTTTCGGAGGAGCAGCCATGAATTTTTTATTAACTCGTTCATAAAATGTTTCGTCGTTTTGTCACTAGGTATGGGGGTATCAATCGCATCATCTCGGGCCTTTCCGTCAGAGGTCGGAAAAACAACGGTAGATTAAAAATGACCTCTGACGGAAAGGCCCGAGATGATGCGATTGGGGCTTTTACATGTCGACATGTTGATGCTATCGATTTTGACTTTCTTCTTAGGTAGCTAAACACAGTTTCGTATAAAATCCAGGGGTTTTCCTCAGAGAAAAGCATGATGGGTAGGGATTTCCCTGCTATTTTTATGCAGTGTACATGAAAATTGCAGCTTTTTTATTTTTATTTGCATAAAGTAGAATCTTATCTTAAGATTAAATGAAAAAAGTATACAAATATTTTTTGAGAATTATTTTCTGTGTGACTTTTTAATAGTGGGAGATAACTCTAAAATCACCCATTTTTCACATGTGCAGAATTGCATGACATGAGTAGCAAGTAAAGTAGCTCTTTAAAAAGCTGGAAAATGTACCCTGAAAGTACAACAAAAAGAAACCTAAGGACTTGCTCTGTTAAATGCACAGCACTTATATTTTCTGATTTCTGCGCTGTTTGTGATCAAGGGAGCTAAAAATGCATAGGTGTACTACAATTAGACGCATAAACTTCCCTATTTCCCCCATGTTTCATGTGTCAAATACACCTTATTAGTGAGAGATAAATGCAATATATTTATATATTTATAAAATTCACAATTTTATCTTTCTATTGATATATAGAAGTCTATGTAGCAAGTCTTCATATTATTTCTTTATGGGGGTCACTTTAGCATGTCCCTCATTTAGTAACGTCATGATAACGTCATACTTAAAACTGTGTTTTGCACCCTTATGTGTGTTCCTCTTTACGTGTGCATGCCCCCAACAGCTCAAGGACTCCAGATTGGTTTCAATAAATAATGTTCAATGAAAGACCGTCCACTCACTTTTTTGTAGTATAGTCAAATAGCAATGTATATATTTATATCTATCCTCAATAAACACCGTAGTTAAGATTAAATCACTAATAAATAGTTGATTTCAACCCCCCAGGCCACTACTACAACCAGGGACCTATATACATGTACTAACTATATATTGAGTATATAGGTCCCTGCTACAACTACAGGGCTTTTTGATTTCATATTTGAGGCATGCATTGTTTAGTACGAAAGCCTATTAGGATCAAACTACGGTAAAAAAAAAATTAAAAGGCGTATAACTTCAAAAGGCGTTATAACGCGAAAAAGGCGTAATAACGCCTCTTTAGAAGGCGTTATAATGCGGAAAAAGGCGTAATTACGCCTTTCCAAAAGGCGTTATTACGCCTTTCCAAAAGACGTTATTACGCCTTTCCAAAAGGCATTACTACGCCTTTCCAAAAGACGTTTTTACGTTATTATTGTCATGATTGGTAAAAACGGAATCATGACAAGGAGCACATGGAGGGTGTGACCGGTCGGCGGGGGATGCCCACTCCTCCATGGCACCTGATCCCACCTCTGATGTTTTTGGAGGTCTGTGTTTGCTCTGCTCCCGATTTGTATTGTTTAAATGAACTTTGAGCTTGAATAATGTTTGTATTCTCCATATTTCACTGTATTCAAAAGCATTTCAAATTTCAAAACATTTGGATTTGATTGAAAATATTTTGGTAAATACAAAACTCGAGAGTTCCTTATAGATACTTGACAGTACATTTGAATAAGTAATGAAATAAATACATCCCCAATTTCATTGCAGTTACAAAATTTACAAATTCTATTCCCTCTAGTAATGTTAAACCATCTTCCAGTCTCTATACGTAATTTTGTATTCCCACTTCTAAATACATAATATTTCTTGAATTGTTTAAGAGGCAAATTCAACAAATATTCTTCAAACATTAATGATTTTTTAAAAATTCTATGATTCAAACCTTTAGGCGAAGTTAGTACTTCACAAAACCATGATTGCTTAAACTGATCTAAAAGAGTACATGGTAAATATCGTATTTTTTAACCAAGATATATTATTTGAATTTTCATACCACACATAGGTCAATCCACATTCATTTAAAATTTTCTGAACAATATCACACCATAGATTTCTATATATTTTCAATGCAAATAAAAGTTTTGCACACAATTTAGAGCTCAGAGCATTAAGTAGCTTACCCCAAAATAAAATCATCCTAACTTTGATATCAATTATTAAAGGATACCTGCCAAGTTTCTCATACACCATAAAGTTTGGTGTTGAGGTTTTCAAGCTCAAAATATGTTTACAAAATGTAAGATGTGACTTCTCGATAAGTTTAGTATCGTTATAACCCCACACTTGACATTCATTTAGGAGTATTGGTATCTGGTGCATCAAAACTGGTACCGTATACGATTTACATTTGATAATTTTTCAAACATTTCTAATCTACAATCAATTCCCAAATTATATTTTCTATATCTACCAATAACACTACACATATAGCTATGCTAGCTGTTTCATATATCTTTTTGGTATATTTAAATAAAAAGAATTGCTTTCACAAAATGTAACACTTAAATATTTAAAGTTATCAACTATATCAAGTTGGGAACCTTCAAATGTTTAAAAAAAAAAAAAAAGGTATTGTTTTTACCTCTACCAAATATTACAACTTCGGTTTTCTTACAATTAATCTTAAGGCCCACTTCTTGCTATATTTAGAAAAAGTATTGAGTATGTACTGAAAATCCTCTGAGTTTTCTGACAACAAGATAGTATCATCTGCATAAAATAAAAAGATGTAAGTGAAGATTAAGCTCTCTTGAGTTTTTCAGACAGACAAGATAATTCTAGCTAAAAATTCTTAAGTACAATGAAAATAAGAATGGTGACAAATTATCCCCTTGTCTAACTCCAGTACTACATTCAAGCATTTCTGAGCATATTCCACTAACTACTAATTTTGATTTGATACCTTTATACATGTGAGTTATAATCTTAAAATATTTTCCATCAGTACTGTATTCCACAGTCCGACATGCCAGACAGATTCAAATGCTTTCTCAAAATCTATAAACACACCGTATAATTTCACTTTGTGTTTTTTTTTCAAAAGTTCTATAAGAGAATATAAATGAAAAATATTATCTACTGTACTCATACTTCTGCGAAAACCTGCTTGGTTTTCTAGAATAGGTTTTACATTAATATTATCAGTATATGAATTCAATCTTTCATTAATAATAACAGTAAACAATTACCCTAGACAACTAAGAAGCGTAATAGGTCTATCATTCTAGGTTCAGTATTGTCTTCTTTATATTTTATATACTGGGATTATGTTTCCACAAGCCCACTGTGTGTGTGTGGGGGGGGGGGGGGAGGTTACACAAGAGTAAAAAAAAAAAGTTGAATAATTCAGTGTATAAATTCAAAATGCAAACACATGTACTTTTCATATAGTCATTAAAGATTCTATCATCTCCATGGGCTTGTTATTTTTCAGCATATTAATACTCTTGATACTTCGTCATGAGTTATTTGTTGGTTAATGTGATAATTGAGTTGACCGTCAGCTAAAATATCAAGCTCTTCTTGTGTTAATACTGTGGACTCTGGCTCTTCTTCATTAAAATTTCATTACAGCATTCTTTATACATTCAAATCAGCATGATACCTTTGCTTATTGCAGATTGTTCAGGATTTTCCAGTATTCCTTGGGGTTTTTGTTCTTAAATTAACAAGTTTTTTTTTCATTCCCACTCTATATGAAATGTTTGCATTTTTTAAAATTTTTTTCTGATACATTTTTTTTCTTTTTCATACAGGTCAGCTTAAAGAAATTCCCCTCCATTTTTTTTTTTACAACCTTATTGCTTCTCCTAAAGTTTTGTCGAGCATTTTTATAATTATGAATCATGGTTTCTTGTATTTTAAATCTGTTTTCTTACACAAAGAGGATACTAGAAAAAGGTATGTCAATGAATAGTATAACAATTGGTACAGAGATTGCTCATTTTAACAATGATCACACGACATACTATTTAAGGTTGAAAGAAACCATGCAGATCGATTATGACTACCGAATTTTTTCAAATTCTAAAAAAAAAGTCAATCCCATTATTAATCCAGTCTTAGTGTTATTACATAAAAATATGACCAGGACTATGTCACGTCCTAAAACAATTACATGTCAGTGATGTAATTAAATGATTAGTCAGAGACATGTTCCCCTCGTGGACAGGTCACTGTCTACGCTATATAACAGATATATGTTAATGTTATGAATAACCTTCCGTGACGAGTTGCTCACCTAAATCCATAGGTTATTATTTGTAACATTTCTCGAGGGGTGTGAGATTGTTATTTAAATGTCAGGCACGTAGTATTGGGGGGGAGGGGGGAGGCATGTCCCCCACTTTTTTTCCAAACACAATTGCAACCTTCTACTGTTGAAAATGTTCAGTGAAAGGCTGGTTGCTTCCCCCTCCCACTTTTTGTTACAGTATAGTCAAATCGGGGTGTGGCAATGTACGTTTGAATAAAATATGTCTGTTAGAGAAGTTGGAACGTAACAATAACCCCCCACCCTCACCCTTGCTAACTAGGATATTCAAGTTTGGACAATCTTCCTTCATATGTTCTTTTCTTTTTTCTTATATTTTAGCTAGTCAAAGTTTTCCTCAGGTATTAAGTTGTAATTATTAATTTTTGTTTTTTGGCTGTCCTCCTTTCAAAAACGATACTACGTGCCTGAATGTCGCTGTGACATATATTTCCCCTCTATATGGCCCTGTTTTCTTGACTTGCATACAATTACATGTTGAGTATACACTACAAGTATCAAGATTAAATAAAAAAAAGAAGACAACAAAAAAAGACAACTTCAGTGGTTTTTGAATCCTCGTGGCTTTAATAAAAGAATGCATGTCTAATAACAATAAATTACCTGTTTCATATACCAAATACAGGAATAATTGTACATTGAAGTAAATGATATACTTCACTGGTTCACGCTTAGTAGATATACCCACTTTATTAAGAGTGAACT